GTTGACAGTATTTACCTTATACCAGGCACACTTGCTTTACAAATTCATTATCTAGGATTTTAAATAACCAGATTTTAAATAACTATTTAGATCAAATGACCAAGCGAATGGCGAAATTCCAACAAAAATGTTTTATTTCGTCTAGCGAAATTTCTGTGGAATTGTCAGAAGGAAAGATAGCATCTACATGGCTGTAGTCCTATTAAATTTACTATTACTTAAATTATTGAATTATGCGACTAATTAAACTCCATATATACTTTTCGTTAAGTTCATTTTTCACTTCATCTACTTCCATTATCATTTCTTTTTCAATCCCGTTTTCAATAACTGAACTTTCGCATTTATAAGACATGTGTTTTAAAGGAAATTTTTCGTCGAAAATTTTTTGATGCCTGCAATAAAAAATTAATATTTCACTAGTTCACTACTAACCATGATTTATTTATAATTTGATAAATTTTAAAAAAGCAGCGAAAAATTTTATTTATATTAAAATTATATCAACAAGTTAATGACTTGATGAAAATGATAAAGAAACAATAATATCTAAGAAATGATAAAGAATATAAGAATACTTTTTAGAATCTTTCTTTGACAGATTTTTTGAACGATATACTCGTGTTCCTCCAAAATAATAATAATTTTCGCCTTTGAATCGTCCAAATGGCAATGTCCGCAACTGTTCGCCCATAGGTATATGTGTTTCGTCTACAACCTTAAATAAACTTTAGAAATTTCTCCATCCACTAAACTTAACTTGGAATTTTTTATTCAATCCAAAAAAAAAGAAAGAAACAACATATGAAAAATATTTATAGAATTCGATAATTCCTAAAAATCTTACTGAATCAATTATATTTTCAGCATCATAACATGCCAAACGATAGTGGCATAAATCAGCTAGTAAATGGGCTCGAATGAAAAGAGGTAATTCGAAGAAATTTGCCTTTTCTAAAAATTACACATTTTTACGTTATGCCTAAATTATTACGCAATTTTCATTTCAGTATAAAATAATAAAATGAAACAAATTGAGATATAATTAATTTATTTGATTGATTAATAATCGATATCGATTATTGCTTTGTTTGGGCATCTTTCTTTTTATTTTTCTCCCAACTTATGCCTTATGCTATTAACAAATAATAATGTTTGTTTTCGACAAGAGGAGACCACCTGTAACTCTCCCCAAGTGATTCTGTGGTGAAACGGTCAGAATATTCTTGATATCTACGTCTTCCGACACGCATGATACTCTCTGCCCGCTGGTACATGCGATAAGTATACCCGATCATAAAACCCAAGATTCATAAGTAAAACATGGTCGCAAACCAGGACAATTGGTCAAAACCTATCAAGGAGAATAGTTCTCTGCACGCGCGGCAAGGTATTAACCGCATCAGCGTATAAAATCAGAACGCTTATGGACGTTGCAAGACAAGCGACCACTGTCCACACCCCTTCTAAATATTGTGTAGATATCGCCTGCCGTCCTCCTCATTCCTCATTTCGGGTTTCGAATAATTACTAATCCTGGCTAGAGGCAAAGGTACCAACTATATCACTGTACCAACTATACTTCGGGCAACTCGAGGCGAAATGGCGTAGCGATCATAATATCTGACAAGGCCCATTCTATCTCGGTTGAGTGGAAACCAGTGAGCGACCGTATGGTCTATGCCCGCCTTAAAGATAAGTTTTACAATACATCGATCGATCAGTGTTTATGCTCCAACTCCGTGATAAAGATAAGCGATAAGTTCTATGCGGAACTTCAACTTCTAACAAAATCTCTACTGAAACATGGTGATAATCGGTGGAGAATGCGCGCGTATGTCATAATGCCGCTACGATAACTTCTACAATTGGCAAATATGATATCGGAGACCGGTGCGCCAACGGAAAATGCATGAGTTTCGCTATGCCGAAACTCATAGCGACCATCTGTAACAATGTTATTATTAACAAAATATTATATTATTCGTGCTCTTCGGCATAGCGACCATCTGTAACAATGTTAACATAGAGGTCACCTTCGCTAGTTAAGGAACATCGTCCACCACAGGAATTGACTCATGTTTCATTACCTGCTAAGCCGTGTGATGATAGGCGTCAAAAGCGAGGTGGGCCAATCAAGATCTGGACTGATACGGTCAGAAAAGATTTTGAAGATTTTTATAGATACCAGCAACATATGGACTTAGACGATGGAAAAAAGAGTGGCTTATATTACGATGGCATTAGATCGCGCAGCTTAGAAATATTTTACTCTTGTATCCAGTTCAGCCAGCTTAACCGATAATAGTGAGGGCTGTTAGAAGAAAAATTTATTTAACCTTTCAATGGTCCAAGAATGTTGGCAATACCAATTCTGTTACCACCAAGAAATTTCCAATCATGCTCGAGAAATTCCCACAATGATGAATTGAAATTTGTGTAACTGAATAAAAAAGTAAAAAAAGTAAAAAAGGAAAGTAAAAGAATTTACAAACATTACTTGACAATGAAGTTATAATTTGATATAATTTGACAAAAAAAAACTTTGTTTCACGATATATTCGATTTCGTTGAAACATGCGAATATTATTAGTACCATCAATTGAAGTAAAGCCTTTGATAAGATCTGTTATAAGTCCTACCACAATGGATGTGGATAACGGCGACTGAAAAATAAAATTAAATAATAAACCAAGTAAAATAAAGTAAAATAAACCAAGATGAAAATAATTTCAAATTATTTGATATGACGGACAATTAGGCAATTTATAAAAAGAAATTAAAAGTAAAAAAAGTAATGAATGAGGCATTTCTGTAAAAAAAGTAATGAATGAGGCATAACTTAGGATTTTAAATGAAGCGAACCTCAGCTCACTATCTATGATTAAATATTATAAATATTAATTCACACCGAATTAAAATAAGATTTCATAAGTTTTACGCATTTAAAGAAATCGGCGAAAAAAATAACTGGCTACAAATAAATAAAAATGAAATAAATAAATTAGAAATAATTAAAAATGATACCTCACAAATTAATGATTTTTCCAAATCCGATTCTGAAAACGGAGTAAGATTGAACGCTTCGAAAAACTTATTGCAAAAATCAGATATAATTATTACATCACAAAGTTCAGCAGCATTACCAACATATTTTCTCGAAATGGCCTCTTCTTTCCATCCATTATCCTTTGTAAGATGACTTGGAAAAATATATTCTTTTTCCACTAAAAAGAATAATTAGATATTAAAATTCTCAATGCGAAGATATTTAAAAGATAAAGCTAAAAAATTATCACACGTCAAATTTATTTACTGGATGAAAATCGATTATTCTTCTTTGATGATTTATGATTTTATTATTTTTTATGAATATTTTCCAATTAACTGAAAACCTTTTATGAGTTTACGATAGAGAATGTTCGATATCTTTAGTTTAGTCAAATGTCATTCCGAACTGCAAAATCCTTCCATTTTGAAATCGGCTTTAAGAATGGAGAAAGAGGTGAGGGAAGAAGGGGAAGGGGAAGCCTAATATTTATGAAGGAAGCGAAATTAACAATTACTTTTTAAGTATGAACTTCGAAATAGAGTCAATTCAAAAATGTCACAAAGCAATCGGAAACAGTTTTTAATAACCCCACTTCGGTCAATCCCGCGATAAATTGGAGTAATGCTCCACGAAACTTGGAGTGTTGACGCATCTGAATCAGAGCGACCTCAAGCCGAAGATTAAATCAAGCGTCTGACTCTAACTGTGCTTAGAATTTTCACTGCCAGCGAATCATTTCGTAAATGCCACTTCACGAAACCATCGAGAGCCGACTAGTGCCCGCGATGCCTGCCAACGGCACGAATTTGTTCGAACTGCAAAGACGACTTCGCTGTCTCCTCCCACTCATTGATCAGAATTTTCTCCTTCAACTGCTAATGCTCCGAGCGAAATAGAGTGAAGCTGAAAGATGTCCCTCCGAAACGAAAAATTTCACGAAAAAAGCGCACCTGGAGGATTCGAATTCGGAGAAGGCGATAGGCGCTCGATCGTCGTCGCCGTTGACGTGCTCGCCACACTCTCGTTCACGCAGAATTTCCTTCGCGACCGCAAATTCATTCGCCGAACAAGAATGGATTTTTTCTCTTAAAATAAATTCCTAAATTTCACTCAATTATTTCTAAAGAATTTTTAAAAATTCGAAGACGCAAACTCGTTTTTCGCATATTTCAAAATATTTCCTTCACAAAATATTTCGCGTAAATTAGGCGAATTCACGACGAAGCGCGAATTCCTCGACGAAGCTTTCGCGCTTCTCATTTTTACTTCGTCAATTAATCGCCACGCACTGCAAAAATAAAGAAAAAAAGATGAACAAAAGTTTGAAATCTGAGCAAAATTATTTTCTATAAAAATTTTGCGATGCATAAACATTGACGTGGCAGAATGCCAAGTTGGCCTGTTGAGGCGGCAATTTAAATTGCAATTTCCGAGACTTTAGACGGACTGCGGAACTCTTTCCCATCCATCAAAAAGAAAAGGGAATTCCTTTAAAGCAAAGTGAATAATACATATTAAAATTTTATTTTAATCGAAATAATTTTACAGTTCCTTTGCAATTGCAAAAATACTTTTTTAAGAGAAAAGCAGTGAATTTTAACAAAAGAAGTAAAGAAATGAAAATAAAATAAAATTAATAAAAACACAATGAAATTATGCATTAATTTAATTATATAAAAATTAGAAAAAAATTATAAATTTTCAGTTCGAAACAAAAATAAAAATATTATAAAATAATATTATCAACAAAAGTAAAATATAATAATAAATATAGAATAATAAATAGAATAAAAGTAAATACGACCATCCATATTTAGCAACATAATACTTTTTTAAGAGAAAAGCGTTTATCATCCTTCATCTAATTTATGAAAAACAAATGAAAAGAAAGAAGAAAGGACAATGCAAAATTTCGCTTTCCTTTTTCCTTTTTTCATCACTGCTCATATTAGCTCACATCAGATGCCGGATTGACTTCACCTGTGAATGGATATTCCGGATGACCAAACATACTGCAAGATTTAATATACACATTTCCGTTTCCAAGTATATTTTCAATAATTCAGTTATCTGTATTTTAAGTAATTGGAAATTAGGTAAGCAAAGGTAATTGAATGAATAAAATGGATAAAGAATAGCACAAAACATGAAAAGAAGAGAGACGAAAGGGGAAATGCGTCAGCATACTTTGATTTCATTAGCAATTTCTTGTTGAAATCTTTTTAAAATTAATTTTTAAATGAATTAAAAAATATACAATTCTTGATAAAATAATCGCGCACGCGTTTTGATCGCACCCATTTCTTTCATTTCATCATCAGTAAGTCGAAAATCGAAAATCTAAAAGTATAACAATGATTACGAAAGAATTTTGAAATTTATCCAACGAAATATGCAATTCCTTGCTTTAAAATTGTTAAATGGAGGGCAAAAATAAATCTTTGCAAAGCAGAGCAAAATAGATATTACAACATCTTAATTTAAAAAATGATCTTACATCGAAATTTTCTCTAATTCGGTCTCGATTAACACTTTTTGGTATAATTGCAATGCCACGCTGAAGCAAATGGCGAAGTAATATTTGGGCACTGGTTTTATTATACTTTGCTGCCAACTTTTTCACGCATCCTTCTTCCATTGGATCCGGCGTAAGCGCCCAATTTAACTTACTTAAAACAAAAAATTAAAAATCTGTCAAAAAAATAAAATTATTTATCAAAGAATCACTGATTAGGGAGTTGTGCTGAAGTACGACCACGAGATCCGAGAGAAGCGTATGACGTAAATGTTATATTATTGGCTTTACAATATTCAATAATTTCATTCTGCGGCAGATATATATGGCATTCATTCTGAAATTGTCAGAAGAAAGTTTATTCGAAAAAGGAAAAAAAGTTGTCCATTTAATGCTGCTAAAATATTTGAACGCAAAGATTTCATATTGACAGATAAAGAATTTATTTGAAGAATCATTATTTAGCCAATCTTCTTATCACTGAATTAAGAATTATTTAAATCATATAATTAGGAACAGTTCAAAAACTAACCTGCACATTATGAATCGGTATTTTAGCAATTTTTTGAATTCTTTTAACCTGTTCGAGATTAAAATTTGATACGCCAATAGCTCTTGTAAAACCTTTATTATAAAGTACTTCCATTCCCTATGAAATTAAAACGAATATCTTAAAATAATGATGAACTCACAGATATTTACAAAAATTTTAAGGTACAAGATCCGAGAAGGGACACATTCAAGACGTCTACCGGCGAAGGAACCATTCCTTCTTCATTTAACTGGTTAAAACAGAAATAAAATAAAGATAAAAATGAAGACCATGTGAAAAATATAGCCCAAGAACAATAAGCACAAAAACGAACAAACCTTCCATATATTTTCAACAGTAACTGTTTCATCGAAATTTTTCATTTCACGCTGAAAAAAAGACAAAACTTATCAAAGAAATCAAATTAATGCTGAATTTTTTAAAAAATTATTACATCGAAAGTTGTTGGCGTATGAATGAGATAAAGATCAACATAATTAAGTCCAAGCTTTTCCAGCGATTCTTTCATTTGTTCCTCCATAACTTCAGGTCGATTATGCGTGCACCATAGCTGAATTTATAATAAATTGATTCAGCGAATAAATATAGGAATATAAATACATTCACCTTTCAGCATTCATCTTTCTTTACTTCTCTTATTTCCAATTTCCAACAATGAACAGAAATGTTCCGCAATAACACACTTATGATTGGTAAATGAGAAATAATCGAAATAAACTCGGAAAAAGTTGCGATGGAGGACAAAACGCATCCTTATTCTACTCAACGATATTATCAACGTTAAAAATCGAGAAAAAACGATAACATAAATATTCCCAGTAAGAAATATGACAAATAGAAAAAAGTGTCATAATCATTTAACGCTCAATACTCTCGGTTAAACTTTATTGATTTTTTAATGTTGAGAAATTTTTACGAGGAAATAACTTGAATAGAAAAACAGATAGGTTACTAGCACCATGCGGATTTTTTACTGCAGATTTATTCCTATCAAGAGGCAAGATCCAAGTCCTAATACAGTAATAACCACTTAGCTACCCTCCATATTAATTAATTGATAACATTAATCATCACTCATTTGTAAGTGAATTAGTTGTATTTAACTAACAGTTTGAGAAAATTTGAATCAAAGTCAGTGATCATCGAATTTTTTCCCACGAACCTAGCTGATGTCATAAAAATTTATGGACCCCCCAGTGGAATTTTTTTAAATTTCGAGATTTTAAAATATTTGTTAAATTTCTTCACTCGTTTTTAAATTAATACAATAATATTGAATTAACATGATAAAAATAATTTGTTGCATTGAAATATAATGCGAATATATAATTCGAATTAGGCTTCAAGCACCTTATGAGAAAACCGCCATGAAAACCGATTCTGAAACCGAACACCACTTTGACGACTATTACTTTATGCATACAAACTTTAGACTAAAAATATTCAAAAAGAAAACCTTTGTAGTGATAAAAATATCGTCTCTTTTAATCTTTCCAGCTTTAAAAGATTGTGCTAAAGCTTCGCCAATTGCTTCTTCATTCCCGTAAATATGTGCCGTATCGATAAGTCGATAACCAACCTCGATTGCCCAACAGACCGCATTGCGAACCTCATCCGGTTTCGACTGCAATTTCAAATTTCAAATTAAAATACACTGCTTAAAAAATTTTTTGAATCACAAAGTAAATCTTAAAATTTTCGATTTTTCACATTTATATAAATATTTTAATGAAAAAACTTTTCGACTGAAACTTTGACAAATTTTATAAATGGTTGATATGCAGTAATACTTTCAAAGGAAATCTGAAATTTTCATATTCAAAAAAAGAGGAAGATAATTTGCTGAAAAATTTAAAAGTTTTTTCTGTTCTCAATGAATCGGGAAAAAGATTTTCGAATTTTTTTCCTGCATCGAAGGGTTATTGAAAAGAATGAGAAAAAAATATTTATATCTTGGCTATGGTTTACTGTGAATTTTTACTGCCTTTATACCTAAATATGGGGAACTACCTATATATATGGGGAACTGACCCTTTCGAAATAAGAATTTTTTTTCCATCAAGGCTGCTTCCTTTCCCTTACAGTATTCAATTATGCGATAGATGGATAATAGACATTGTTTGTCGGCACTCAAGAGGTGGGCAAATCAGTCCAGAGAATAATATTGCAGACCTCGAATACGCTAATGATGTAGTCCTTTTTAGCTGACAGTTACGACAAATTACAAATAAGCAACCGCAGCAAGACTAAGGATGAATGCAAACAAAACGAAAGCCTCTTCATCCAATATATAAGAAGCTTCGACAACTGTGGTTAGGAATGTTTCCAAAGCCTGTCTGAAACCGCCGCAAGATCGACCTCAAAATGAAGAATTCGCGTCTGTCTGCATGTAGCACGATCTGGCATTAATCCCTTGTTATATGACTGAGAAACATGCTCAATAAACGTGGAAAACAGCTTCGACCACCCTTGGTATATCCTATCCTAAAGTACATCCTATCGCCAAGCAAACACAGTTCCACATCCATCCTCGTCCAAATGTCATATGTAGCACGCTCATTAGGCTATGTTCTCCGTTGTCCATCACAGGAATTCACACATATTTCGCTAATTGCTAATCCCTGTGATTGATGGCGTCAAAGCAAAGACGACCAACCTTGGCTGATATAGTTAGGAGAAATTTTGAATGCCTAGACATAATCACCGATGTTAGGGCTTAAAAATGGCATCGGCCTTATCTTATTGGCCAACAGAGTTAATCAACAGAGTTAACCATGAGCGTTAAATAAAAAATAGTAAACACAAAAGAAAAGGTTAAAAGAAAAGGTTAAAAATTTTAAAAAAGGGCTAACAAGCCAAGTGCCAAGACCAACGGCGGGCATATCATTTCCTGTTGATAATTTCATCGTTTCACAGCCAACAAACATTTTTTACCTATAAAAATGTAACTTTAAAAAATTTTTACTAAAACTAAATCAAAAAAATTTTTTCTCTCAAAAAAAATTACGCCAAAAATCTTTTTTGACGTGAAAAATGAAAAAATTTTTACAAATTGAATTTTTCTAAAATTTTATTTCATTCCATTTGAAATAAGTATTATAAAATATAAAAATTATGTTTATTAAATTTGCATTTAATGAATAAAGTAACAAACAAACAATGGGAATAGAAATAAATCATGAAAATATTTTATAATAGAAATGAACGCCTCTGGCGAAATCTCTGCTATACAGTCTACTGAGAGATAGACAGAAGTCTGGTTCCATAGGTGAGTCCGCAGAGAAGCAGAGATGGATCCCCAGGACATTTCGAACAATGTTTATTGCCATCAAACAGTTAGAATTGATCTCAATAAACTTAAGCTCAATTTTAGTGCTCAGTGCTAGAAATAATGAAAATTTTTCATCAAGTACAAAAATTATCGACGAATTATTTTAGCGAATACATTATTCACCTCAGTTAGTTGCACTGATCAATCTGTAAGTAAAAGGAAACCGTTGCTTCGGTAGCTCAGTGGCAAGAAAACAGTCACCGAAGTCCGAGTCTTGGCTTCGAATCAGCCGGTGCACCAGCGAAGCAAAGAGGAATAATGGTTTAGTGAGTTGTTGCTCAATTCGGAGCGATTCTGCTCCTCGCAGAAGCAACCCTGTCCAAAAATTCGGGTGATGCTGACGACTTCTATCGCCATGGGACTCTCTGCCATATTTTACAAACCAGCGGAGCGAGTCTAACCAGTATTGATGATTGCACACAAAAACCAAAGGTGACCTATTTCACTCACTACAAAAGTCACTACAAAAGTCGGTCCAGACATGGGGAAATCGCGGCTCTTGGTCTATTCTTGCGAATTCCAAAACATTAGCATTCTTGTGCCGTGGTGCAGGCCTGGAACTAAGCTTCGAAGACCTGGTTCGGCCCTTTCAGTTGATCCTAAAAGCACATCCCTATGATAAATTCTCCTCCTCGAAACTTCATATTGCGACAAATTCTCTTATTAACTATTAACCATTTTCAATTAATCATTTCACACTTCCTTAAGGAATACAAATATTTAAATAATTTTTTAAAATCAAATTCGAAAATCGTATTTGTCAAAAAAGTTTTAATCGTTGCTAGCAAATATTTGAATTTATGCTTAAAACAGAATTTTCCCTTAAAGTAGACAGTGGGGAAAAAGAATAGCCCGAATTTCTCTAACGCAGACTACTTGGGTCTTCCAGCTGGGCACAGCTCGTTCCCAACGACAAACGCAGGAAGTTGCCATCAAGAGGGAATTCCCCAAGGCTGCTGGCAGTCCGCCTTTAATCTTTTTCTCTAATCTTAGTTAGCAGTAAAGTCAGCCAAACCAGTAATTTATTAAAATAAAGTAAAATAATCGCTTTATTCAACCTTTCAAACTGTAATTTCAGAAAATATTTCTTTTAACCAAGAAAAAATAATGAATATTTTAACGAAAAATAATAAATAATAACAAACTGAAGCCAAGGCTATTTAATTATAATAGTAATAATAACAAACAGTAATTATAATAGTAAAGAATAACAATAAATAATGATGAACTGAAGGTTACTTAATTTATAAAGAAAATTCTTATCAAAATATTTAATTTATTGCTGATAATACTTAAAACTTTCGACTTCCATCGTTTTAATAAATATTTTAATAAAATTTAATCCCATTTCATTGTAATATTTTGAATATATTTTGCGGCAATAGTGATAAAATAAATTAATATTCGTCCATTATCCGTTATCCGTACAATTGACAAATCGCTGATAACGAACTTTAAATTTTTCCGACATCGAAGAATATCTATAGTACTTATAATTTGCAATCTCATCGCTTTTTTCGTAAGATTACTGTTTAACTCGCTGTCAGAACGTTAACACGTGCATTCACTGCGAAAGGTGAGAATATGGCCAATTCCCAATTCAATTATTTCCAAATAATACCTGTAGATTTCTCGTCAAAAAGATAACTTAGCAGTGTAAAACTGTGAAACTTACAGTCGAACACCAAGAATAATATTTATCATTCGCAATTGATAATTTTAACATATTTTCTCTTCAATTCGATTGTCCACCTTTAATGCCGATATTTTAAATAGTTTAGAAAATAAACTTTGTAAATTAACAATCATCAAAATTTTATTTTATCGAAATTTTAAAGAAATCTAAAAATCTAAATAAATAAAATCCAAAAAATATGCAAAAACAATAAAAATACCAAATAATGATATGGATTTGTAGTGAATATTACTATTTAATATAATGGAATGTTATAAAATAAAATCGCAATTCAAAGGCATCAAAAGTCGATGATTATTATTTATATTATTTATATTAGAAATAAAAATAAATAAATTAAATGTAAAAATAAACGGCGAAGAAATTTCGATGCATATTCGATCATCTCAGCCGACTGCAAACGAAAAGGAATCGTATTACGAAGGAACAAAATAATTTTAAAATTATATGAAAGTAAAGAGCCAACATCGAACCATGATTTCTGCCTACCACACGTTAAGCCAGAATATACAGCAGACTATATAAGAATTTAAAATCCCCTCAATCTTGCTTGTATCCTGGATTGACTTCACCTGTGAATGGATATTCTGGATGGCCAACCATGCTAAAATATTTTTTTAAATGAAGAATTTCTCTCATAAACTGTCAATTCAGCGATAAATCTATAAAACAAGTTCCTAAATATTCCAATTAAAATGAATTATTATGACAAATAAACAAATTTAGTTAATAAGCTCATATTTTAATCAAACCTGATTTTCATCTAACAATCACTAATAAACCAAATTGAAAAGCGAAAAAATTTAAAAATAAAGCAAAAATTATACAAATCTTGATAGAACAATCGTGCACGCGTTTTGATGGCCTCCATTTCTTTCATTTCATCGCCGCTTAGTTGAAAATCGAAAATCTAAGTAACGATATCAGTAACATTGATAGAAAAAAAGTTTTAAGCGAAGTTTTGCGAATTAAATTGGTTAAAAAATTTCACGCATTAAGTCCCCAAAATTATATTATTAAAGATAAATTTCAACACGAATCATTGAAAAATAAACTTACATCGAAATTTTCTTTAATTCGTTCTTTATTAATGCTCTTTGGTATAACTGCGATGCCACGCTGAAGTAAATAACGGAGTAAAATCTGAGCACTACTCTTCTTGTACTTTGCTGCAAATTTCTTAACACTTGCTTCTTCCATTGAATTCGGTGCAGATGCCCAAGTCAATTTACTAAAAATTTCATTAAATTATACTTTCTTCCTTAAAAATTAATTATTTAATTATTTAAGCAGAGACAAAATATAAAACAGATTGAAAGAATATGAATGTCACCTACTAATTGGGAAGTTGCGCTTCTGAGCGACCACCTGAACCGATAGAAGCATATGAAGTAAAAGTTATATTGTTCTTCTTACAATATTCAATTATTTCATTTTGTGGTAGATATAAATGACATTCATTCTGAAATATGAAAAAATGAAAATATGAAAAAATTCACTCCGTCCAGCAGTGAAAGGCGTAAGAAGATTTTTCGCTTAAAAAACAATATTTTTAAAAGGAAATATTTCAAAAAAGGCTTACTTGAACATTGTGAATCGGTACTTTTGCGATTTTCTGGACTCTTTTTAATTGTTCAAGGTTGAAATTCGACACGCCAATGGCTTTTGTATATTTCTTATCAAAAAGTGCCTCCATTCCCTGGTAAATCAAACTTTATTACCGCATAAATTGCCTCAAAAAGCTCATCTCATGAAATAACAAAATAATTTATAAAAGTTGTAAAAAAATCTTTAAAGAAATAAAATTAAAGTCAAAAAAAAAACCAAAAAACCTTCCATATATCCTCAACAGTAATTGTTTCGTCGAATTTTTTCATTTCACGCTGGAAAAAAGAAAAAAACGAATATTCTTCCAACTTTACGATTTTTATATCAATAATGAAAAGATGCGAAAACAAAAATTCAATAACAACATTACATCGAAAGTTGCCGGCATATGAACAAGATAGAGATCGACATAATCAAGTTTTAATTTTCTAAGCGATTCTTTCATTTGTTCCTCCATAAATTCGGGCCGATTATGAGTGCACCACAGCTGAATTTATTGAATTTAATTTAATTTACTGAATTTATTATCATAACCTTATTTTTATCAGCTCATATAATTATCACCAAAATCTACGATATGAAATCCAATGTTAATATACTAAATATATTGGAATATACTAAACACTAAATATAAGCTAAATAAAAATAACACTATTTAAAAATTCTACTATTATAGAATAATAGAGTTTTACAAAAAAATCTCCGATCAGTCTAAAAAAATTTATATTAGAATCCCTATGAAAAATCGATAGAAACGATATCATAAAATTATCAAAATTATCAATATTCTGCAATATTCTGAATCATTGCAAAAATATCGTTTTTTAAACAATATTTGAGAATTTCCAGCGAAGAATTCAGTAATAAATAGACAAAAAAGAAAACCTTTGTAGTGATAAAAATATCGTCTCTTTTAATCTTTCCAGCTTTGAAAGATTGTGCTAAAGCTTCGCCAATTGCTTCTTCATTCCCGTAAATATGTGCCGTATCGATAAGTCGATAACCAACCTCGATTGCCCAACAGACCGCATTGCGAACCTCATCCGGTTTCGACTGCAATTTCAAATTTCAAATTAAAATACACTTTTTGACAATATTTAAATTCGTTTTAATAAAAATTTTCCCTAAAATTTTGATTTTCTACATCTGAAAAAATATTTTAATAAATGTTACTCTTCGCACAAATTTTATATTTATTTATAAATGGCTTATTTATTTGTGTATAAATAAAATTAGTCATTTTCACAATTATATTGCCCCATAAATGGGAAGTTTTTTTCTATTTCGCTGCGTTATCGACGATTACTGATAAAGAAAAAGCATCTAAAAATATTTTCTTTCAATCGATTCTCATTAAGTCCATATCGCGAATAATATTCAATCCACTATTGCAAATTCCGCGCAAAAAAAGTTAAGGCAGACCGCCGGGAGACTCGGCTGAATGCACACTGCTTGCGCAGAGAGAGAATTTAACATGGATGCCCTTTAAAGAAATAAACGTGTCACTAAAAGTGGATCGCATGTGCTGCAGTGGACCCATTCATATCTCCAACGGCCAAACTGTAGTTCTGCGAAATTTCTCATTTTATTAATCGCTGCTGGCGACCAAATTAATTTTAGTAGAAAACAATAAGTTAGGAAGAAGAAAGAAAAGACAAACGAGCCAAGTGCCGAGGCCAACTGCTGGCATATCATTTCCCGTCGATAATCTTAGCGTTGCACCGCCAATAACCATCTTTTATTAAATCTAAATTAATAAATATAAAGAAATATTAATAAATATTTTGGAACAAAAAAACAAATAAAAAGAGAACGAAGAGAAAGAATGCAATGTTTGATTAGATTAATATAGAAACTAGTTTGGCTGCTATCGATATTATTAAACCAAATATGGAATTATTCGTCGCGCGCTATTGTCGCATTTGAATTTTAAATAACATTTTGAAAAAAAAACAAATTCAACGAATAAATTCAAATAAATCTTTAAAAAAATATTTACACATAACTTATTTGAAAAAAATTTCGGCCGTTATTTATGGCTTTTTTTATTTAATATATCTCATATCATATCTGACCTTTAACCTTTATTTTTAATATTGATTTTCCGTAATTTTCTAGTAAAAAAAATGAAAAAAATAAATATACATGACACGGCTAAATATACATCGCCTCTCTCCTTCTCTCACTCTCTCTTCGACTTCTGTTTTTCTTTTTCACTACCAATTTCCCTCACTCTCTAATATATCGTCATTTAAATCTTTCTTATTGCACTTATTATTATTTTTATTATTATTGTTATTAATGTTGATTATTTTTCACCTAACAATTATTATTATAAAAATATACAATAATTAATAAATAGAAGTAATTATTTGAAATTATTTTATTTTACAAATTAAATAAATAAGTATTGAATAAAATCAAAAAGTAATTTTGCGGAAAATTCTACATGAGATGATTTTTTATACTCATTTTTATTGTAAATTTCTCGATTTTTAACAAAAATATTTGTTTGAGAATTTTTAAAAAAATAACGAAGGGAAGAATTTTTTTGGAGTGACAAATGTCAACGACAATTGATGAAAATGACGATGTCGAAGGTCGGAAGGTCATCCTTAAGGTAAGTTTTAAATTTAATTTCATTTAATCTAAAGGAATTCTTCAAAGAAGAGGAATTAAAAAAATAGCGAAGATTCGACGTTTATTGAGCAAAAAGGTGGAGGATTCACGTATTTGTGGGGACGACGGCTGATAAGTGAATTGGCGAATTGTTTCCTTCCAGAAACATAAATTCCAGTATTCGATTTTAAAAAATTCATTAAAACAATTTTTAGAAGCAAAAACGTGAGTATAAGGATGAAAAGAAACGTGTAGCGCAAGAATTAGTTACGTCATTACGTGACCAAACGATAATTGTTATGGCCGATTGGTTAAAAATACGTGGGACTTTACGTAAATGGAATCGATTTTTTTGTGTTCTTAAACCTGGCCTTATGCTAATTTATAAAAATGATAAAACTGATAAGGTTAATCTCTATTCTTTTTTTGATAACGATAAATGAATAATTTTTCGAATAATAATAATTTTCTTTTCCAAATACTTTTTAGCGTTATTTTATTGTTAGATATTTTCCGGTTTTTCGTTACATTACGCCGTTCTAATTGTCATTTTTCCACATTTTCTCATAAAGGTTCATAAAATAATACGGAATGGGAGATGGGATAAGACGTGAGAAATTGGTATTGGGAGTTAACTAGAGGGGACAAAACAGAGCGGCGAAATAAGAGCAATAAGAGGAAGGGGCCAAAAGAGGGAGGAGGTGCAAGGCAAAAACGAAAAGAAATTGGCGATCTCCACATAGCTAACCATTGTGATCTTCATGAATGCTATATCAGCGAAAAACGACTATTATTATGTTATTATGTATTTAAAAAAATTCCTTATATTTTTTCATTTTTTTTATCAGTTATTTAACTCTATGTTACGAATGAATTTTAGGCGGGATATTGGGTCGGTACAGTTTTGTTGAATACGTGTGAATTAATCGAACGACCATCAAAAAAGGATGGTTTTTGTTTCAAATTATTTCATCCACTTGATCAAAATATTTGGGCAACACGTGGTCCTCTCGGTGAAAGTTACGGTGCAGTGACTCTTCAACCACTACCAACAACTCATTTGATATGTCGAGCACCGTCTGTTCAAGTTTGTTCTTTCATTAAATTCAATATCGAAATGAAACAAGCTTAAAAGATTGTTTATTAAATTGCAATAGAAAAGATTCTAATAAAGATTTTCAATTTGAATAAAATTAATTTCAAAAAATTTGGCCGGAAAAGAAAAAAGGAAATTTTTTCCTTTTATTGGGATATTAATTTTTTTTAGTATTTTTCGATGATTTTTTATGCCTCAATGTTATATATTTAAATGTTATTTAGTATATTGTGGAGCATATATTCAGGCTGGTGGTTGCTGGATGGACGCATTGCAGTTGACTTTACGCTGTAGTGGGCTTTTATTGCGAACTATGCATAAGGTTATTTGCAAAAAATTTTTTAATAAATGTAAAAATAAATTTGGCATTTTTTTCTTTTTTAATATTAATATTATATTAATTTTAATATTAATTTTTTCTTCTTTTCACTAATTAGTTTTGTGAAATTATTTGAAGCATAATATTACACTGCTTAAATAAGGAATTTTCTTTGAAAATTTTTTAGAAATTAACGATTTGATTTATAGTTTTTAGTGAATTAATGGTGATAATAACCAATTATTTGAATATATTAATAATAGTTGACTGATTTGTTAAAAGATTATTCACTGCATTTATATTTAAGCTTTCGGATACATCGCGAAAAGAAGACGAGACACCGATGAAAGATGCTTTTAATGCTTTTAATGATGAAAGTTTACTTGAATGCTCACAAAAGACTGAAATTAGTGAAATAGAGGCCGAAAAACATTTCAATGGTACTATTCTTTTTTATCTTTATTCGCTTTTTTCTCATTTTTATTATGGTTTTTTTATTTGATCTTTTTAAACTACCTTTTTTAAACTAAAAGCACTATCTTTGTACATATTCAATTCTGAATTCTGAAATTATTTTGGGTTTGAATGATGATAATGATTTATTGGTTACATGTGGAAGTGATTTTAGCGGGATTATGGATAAAGAAGAAAGCATATATATTTCTTCTCCACCTGAACAAGTAAATCTTTCTATTGTTCAAGTTAATTATATTGTTAATATTTTCGTTATGGAACGTGAAAAACTTGTTTTTTCATTGAATTGATTTGCAGTTAGGTCCATTATTGAGCAACACTCAAACAGAGGATTTGGCCGATGAAAACAAAAGTCTTATTTGGAGTTTGCTAAAACAAGTTCGACCTGGAATGGATTTGTCCAGAGTTACTTTACCAACTTTTATTTTGGAACCTCGTTCATTTCTTGAAAAACTTTCGGATTTTTATTACCATTCTGATCTCTTGGCTGAGTGAGTATGAATGATAAATTTTGATAAATTTTAGTTCACTAATTTTTATAATTTCAAACAATAAATAATATTGCTTTTGAATTCAACAATATTTTTTAGCGCTGCTGTTGAGGACAATCCATTGGAACGGATTAAAAAAGTCGTCAAATTCTATATGAGTGGGTTTTACAAAAAACCTAAAGGTTTAAAAAAGCCCTACAATCCGATATTGGGTGAAATTTTTCGTTGCAAGTGGGAACATCCTGATGGCTCAGCCTCTTATTATATTGCCGAGCAAGTGGGTATTTACAGATTATAAATAAGTTTCGCTTGACGATCTTCGACGCAGTCGAATAGATCAATATAACTAATTTTTATCTGAAAAAATGATCAGAAAAGCTTTAAAAAGCATAATGATTTGATTATAATATGAATTACATCGTTTTTCTTCAGAAATACGTGCTTCTTTTCTCATTTCTTCAGAAATAAAAAGTAGTTCCTACCTTAGAGAGAATACATAAATATTTAATTTTTTTAGGTTTGAACATTTTATGCATTTGTAATCGGGATATCTTAAAATAAATGTTTTTCCGGTCTCTCACCATCCACCAATTTCATCACTATTTCTTACGAATCGCAAAGCTGGATATAACATATGTGGGACAATTCTTGCTAAGAGTAAATATTATGGAAACAGTTTATCTGCTTTAATGATTGGCACAATTCGAATTACACTCCTTAATCGTGGTGAAACTTATACAGCAACATTACCATACGCCAACTGTAAAGGTATTATGATTGGCACTTTATCTATGGAGTATGGTGGTCAGGTAAATTTTTACATTTTTATTGAAATTTTTTTTCAGCAGCTACATTAAATCCATTGCGATTTTAAGGTTAACATTTCTTGTAATCGAACAGCTTATACTTGCACTATGGATTTCAAATTGAAACCATTCTTGGGTGGTTCAATGAATGTTGTGACTGGTGCAATACATTTGGGACGAGAACCACTGGTAAAAATTGATGGAACCTGGGATTCCGATATTTATATTTATGAAAATGTAAATTTTTATGCTTTTATTTTATACGTTTTTTGAAGGAACTTTGGATAAAGGCTTCCCTTTCCAGTCTAAATATTTTCTCTTTTAACAGCACTCTGGTCTTATCTCTTGTTTAGCTACACTTTGGTTTGGTTACACGCTTATATCGCCAAGTTTCTACTACACCATTACTATTAACCACTTTCGCTAGTGAGTTATTTGGCGATGGAAGTAAAGATAGGTCCCTAGCCACCACATGCATTTCAGTGACGTGGTCATTTCCATCAGCTGACGTTGTGGTAATGTTCTTTATTCGAATTAACTACCATTCGACTATCATGAGCCCGGTTTAAATGTTTTTATTTATATTTTTTAACCTTGTAGATATAAAAAAGGTATGAATTCTGGATAAATTGAACTGTACAAAAGTGGGAATAAATCTATACAAAGCGGATTTGATTTTAAGGGCAAGAAAGCTATATTGTGGTCACCAACGAAAGAAACTGTTAAACAACGTTTGCCTCGATATGAGATTCCTTTAGAGAAACAAGGAGAATGGGAATCAAAAAAGTTTTTTTTGAATTATGTTAAGAACCTACTTTCTATCTTTCTACCTTCTATCCGTTATAAATAAAGATGAAAACCAAATTATTCTGAAATTATTTCATGCTTTATTTTTAAATTCACTCATTTTTTTTACAGACTGTGGCTGAAAGTGAGCGAGGCTATAGCAAATGAAGATCAAAAAGCAGCTACTCGAGAAAAAACAGCGCTTGAAGATGATCAAAGGGCGCGAGCAAAGAATACTGTTTATCATAAACCTAAATATTTTAAATATGAGCCATTGACAAAAACTTATGAATATATTTATGCTGAGTGAGTTTTTTAAGAATTTCAGACAATCTCTTGAGTTTATCTACCTTAAAAAAGGCTAATATGATTGAAAGTATATTATCCCATGACGAATAAGTAGCTCGGGAAAGGCCTATAAGCCTATAATACTTATATAATACTTATATTGTTGATAAACTGATAAACCAATATTTTGTGATTGATAAATTCGCTAAAAACCACAGCGTTTCTTTTATAGGAATTGAGAATAGAACAAATATATTTTCTAGTTTCTTATTTTCTTTTAAACTAAAACTTCCCTCTATAATCTCTGATAATATTTTATTTGATTTCCATGATTTTGCACAAAAATTCTATGTTACAGTTATCGACCTTGGGATAACAATAATGATGTTCGACAAATGGAGAACAACTTTATGATTCGAACATTATCTAAATACGGACCAATTAATGGCGCCAATGCACCAGCAGTGGAGTCAATAAATGCAAATTCTGGAATAGAACGAGATCAGTCAGATTCTGATTCTGTTTCAGGTTTATTCTTTTCAGATTTTTATTAAATATAATCTTAAAGTTAACGCTTTCAAATCAATATTTTCAGAGCCATTTCATCGAAAACGAAGTAAAAAACAAATGTTATTATCGACATCCGATAATTTGCAAGCATTTCAAGTTTATTTTAGTTTATTTTACCTCTTTTTTATTTTGCACTAAAAAAATAAATTTTAAATCTCAAATTTGATTAGAAGCTGTATTTATTGGAATAATATAACTGTTGTATTAGTAAAATGGTCTTTTTTAAAGTAAAGGATAAACTCAAGAAATTGCAATAAAAAGTAAAAAAAATTCACTCAGTACGCACAAGTTTTAATACTTACTGATTTATTTAATCATTTTCATTTTTTTTTCCTTTAATTTATTGAATAATCATTTATGAATTTTCATTAAAAAACTTGTTCATTATCTTTTATTTGAGATTTGTTGATAAAATTAAAATATTAGGTTTTATTTTGATTTAGAATACAATCGACCGCACACTGGAAATTCTTTTACGTATCGAGGATAAACTGGAAAATGGAAATCGTTCGGTGACATACATTCAACTTCTTACGGCTTTTGCAGTATTTGCTATCGTTCAATTAATTGTTCTTCCACTTTTTATGCAATCTAAAATATGAAATTTTCAAAATTTCCTTTTTTTTCTTTTTTATTATTTTATTTTATTAAAATTCGTTTCAATATGTATGTCTTAGAAGTAATTTATTGTATTCAGTTATCTTTTCGTAAACTTATAATTTATTATAGAGAACCGAAATGACTAGCAATCCCTTTCAATTACCTCGCATAGTTCAGTGGTGAATCCGTAAACAGCCAGAAGATCGCAGCATCATCTGATATATACCTTTATATCTGATATATAACTCACTACGACGATATATACCTTTTAATGAGAGATTTTTAAGGAGAAATGAAGGGAGAGGGGCTGAGAATATGATACTCTTCTTTGGGAGACAAGTGGCAATCTTAGCTGACATCGGTAAATGAATGGTGATTAAAGCCAGTTACTATATTCGTTATATTTGCAAATTATTTCAAAAAATAAAAAACAAATTAATTTATTTCCTATGTAAATATTTTTTTTATACTTGAGCATTTATTTGTAATTCTAATAATTTGCAATCTTTTAATTTTTGGATTATTTTGCTCGTTCAAAGTTTTTTTCTTCTATAATTTATTGATATTGATTGATTTTTGGCTTCATAATTTGCTATAAAGTAATGTATTGAAGCATTACTATACCACCGCTTGCTAGCACATTGCATCAGACGATTTTAATGTTTCCAAGTCGATTTTCCGCGTTTGACTCGCATCAGCAATTCCCCATTTCGAAAATAGCGAAAAGCATGATTCACGAATATTTATTTTTAACTGCATCAAAAATTAAACGCTAAATGAAAATTTAACACTTCCAAAAATGAACTTTAAACTATCAGATCAGCGAGATGAAACCGCCGAGTAGTACCACTTGAGTGCAAACTAAAGAACTTATCCTACATTTTACAGATAATCGTCTTAAGACCGAGATTTTATAAATTGGCATTATTCCAATAATATTTATTGCATCAAAAATAAAAAAGTTTCGTTTTTTAAATTTTCGTTTCGTCAGTTAATTTTCTCGCTTGCGGCGATGCTGCGCACCGAAACGGTTCGTTATTATTTATATATTTTGGATTTTAAATTTTTAAATTATTAAAAATAATTTAATTTTTTAAAAACTCGAAAATAGTGATTTTCTTTTTAGATAATTTAGCTGCGAAATTCTGAATCGGAAATTCTTTTTGGAAATGTGGAAAAATGGTTTAACATTGTTTCGAATTTCAAATTTCAAAAAAAATCGAAAATAAGGAAATTGAAAATTGAAATCGTTTTTTGAGAATTCGAAATATATAACAGAATGAATATAATGAATTCGAATGAATTCGAAATATAAGAAAAGATGAATTTCTGAAACTGTTTATTGCTATAATTTATATTATATTATCGCAATATTTTATTTTTTTCAGCAGCAATGGAAATTAACGACGAAGTCGGACAAAAAATCGCGGCAGGGCTGTCGGCTGCACTCAACTCAGTTATCGTCGTTAGTGAATTTTCTTCAGCTTTTTAATTTTATTGGCGTCTCCCTGTCAGGTGGTCACCGCTGTCGTTTCTTCCCATTCAGTCTTCGTCTTTCATCGCTTTCGCTTTTCTCTTTCACTTTAATTTTTGCTCTTTCCAGTTAACTCATATTGCCTGTAGTTTTGGAGCCCTCTTCTATAGCCCTACTTTTTCCTCATTTATATTGCTATGCCTTTACTACTTCCTCGGTGACGAATGTGTCCACAAAACTGGAATGTTTTTTTATTATGTGAAGTTATATATTATTATATGAATGACTGAAAAGATACGAAATTATATAATCATTAATAAATCTAATAATTTCTTATACGAGCGCCTTTTTCAGATTTATAACTATTTCAAGAAGGATTGGAAAATTAACTGGTTTTTTCATTGGTGCGACCGGCGTTTTGATTGGTTATGCTTTATATAATCCATCATTTCAAGAAGACATTAAAAAATATATACCACAATCTCAACAATTATTTGATAAAATTAATCAGTGGATACCTGCAGAGTTAGTTTTTCTTTTTTCATTTTATTTTTTTCCATTTCCTTTTTTATAAATGCTTAGAATGTTCCATTCAAACACCGATTGTTAAAGATGCTAATGGTTCATAATTTCAAAGTTTGCCGGTTTTGTAGTTTTTTGCTGAACAATTTTTTGAAAAGATTCTTTTAATTAATATTGTTGAATATCGATTTTTTTAAAAAAAGGAGAGAAGAAAAGCGAGGTATAAGTTTTGGCGAATATTTTGGAAACGTATCGAGTGGCGTGAAAAATTGGATTTCAAATGGAAAAAAAACATCAGAAAAAGAGGGGAATTCTTTTTTAAAAATTCCCAGCTTACCACCTTTAGCTAATTCGAAGAAAGTTTCTGCTGATGTTGAGCCAGTCGATATTAGAAAAGTTCCTAAAGAAATTAATGTAAATGAATCTTTCCAAGCTAATGAACGTTTAAATGAACGTTTAAGTCGGAACAAAGGTTTGTTCTAATTTTTAAAATTTTTAATTATTCTAATATTTTTTAATATTTTCCACTTGAGAAATTAATTTAAAATTAATTTTAGACAAAAACTGCGAGATAAAAAAAAAGAATAGAATCGAAATATTTATTATGATAATGAATTTTTTCCAGAACTGGAAGAAAAGTTGAAGTCTGCATTGTCAGCAGCAACTAATAAAGTACATAAAGCATCAGATGCTAAATTTCGGACGGTTTCAGCATTAAAGGATCATGCAGCCCTTCTAAAAAATACGATAGGTGATGAATATTCTGAAGTACGTTCATCGCTCATTTTGCAATTTATTTATCTTCATTTTTTCAAGCACTCACCATTTTTGCTTTGATTGATTACATTGACTGTTAGGATAGACTATTTCGCGAAATATTTACAGGAACACGTATATTAGAAATATATGTGGGTCTTCGATCACACAGTGGTCGAATCGAACTCTTTATGTTCGAACTAAGCTAAATATATTACTCTACCATTGTTTGCATTTCCTATTTCTAATATACGTGTTTCTAGTGCATAAAACTTTTTTTCTCACTCCCTGTGGGTGCTCGTGATCATCCTTAACCTCGAGTTCTCTACTAGAGACCTGGGAGATTGAAAGTCTTGCGCAATCTTGCGCAATATCTTAGCTGCTCAAAAATAATGCGTTCTTTTGAATACAGATCTCTGATGTTACTCCTGTAATCTACTGAAGCCACTTTTCTAGCTTATGAGTCTCAGTTTCCAAGTGCTCTAATTGTCTTTGGAATTATTTTTGCTTTTATTTTTCTTCTCCAGTTTCTCATTCAGCTCTAGTATTTTTCTAACTTCTCATATTCCTTCTTCCAAACGTTTCTGTCACTTGGTATTTGTCTATTACCAGTGCTGATTCTGATTTCCGATTCTTATCTATTACCACGACATCTGGTTTATTGGACAGTACTTCTTTGTCTGTCTATAGGGAGAATTTCCACAGGATCTTCACTTAATTATTTTCTGTTATTCGCTTTATTATTCGATTTCCTGAGCAATGTTTGATTTAGTCTTGGGAAGGCCATACACCAAGCAGATATGTAGATGATGCCAGCTGGTTATGCCTTTCAGTTTATATTGTTTCTGTTTGTATTTCACATCCTGCCACTATTGGACTCTTTTTGGAGCATAGTCTCCACTTAGAATCCTGTCTAGTGTGATAGATCCTTGTTTCGATGGATCTGATCCTTAGTGCTTTTTTCTACTATAATCAATGCCACAGTTCCTTTTTGTCCAGCTTTCTCCAACAACTAGTAGGATTTTACAGTGTCAGCTACTTCAGCGATCTGTCGATAGTGTAGTGTAGTGGAGAATTTAGTTATGCCTTGGTACTTTCCTCTGTTTGATCGTTTTCCAATATACATTCAGCTGGCTCTTCAAGATTTGTCTTGTCCTTTGTTGATACTTAGATTTTACAGTTTTCCTTTACCAAGGTATCTATAGATAATCTATATGTCCGCTACTGATGACAGGTCCGCCCCATTAGTCTTCACTACTTTTCCTATTTTTACTACTATCTGGCCACAATTCTCTTATTCGAACGACATCCCAATGTTCTCGCTGCAGATCTGAGTTGAATGGATGAGCGAGTCAATATTTTGTTCACTTTTTGCATTTAACTTGAACCTCATCTATGTAGAGAAATTGGTTAATGTTAATTATTGCTTTTGAACTTATCCATTTCCACCTCTTGTGATTGTCTGAGTGAGAGGATTTGAATATGCAAAACAGTGGGAGCTACAAAATATGCCCCATGCCCCACTTGATAGCTACTTGTGCAAGCTATTTCAAGTTGATTTCAATGTGTCCACAATCCCATTGAATTCACATGTAATATGTATATAATATATAATATATGTACATGTAATATGTATTTCTTATATTTTTTTTTCTTATTTTTATCAAACAATATTTGTTTAGTGGAATTAGATGGAGTTTTCCGATTACTTTTTTTTTCATTTTCATTCTTTAATTCCAACAATAAAATTTTTTTATAGAATGAGATTTTTGAATATTTGAAGCAAACTTTAAGCAATTTACAAATTTTTCTGCTTTCATTTATTGATTTATCCCAGCTTTGCTGATTATTTATTACCATTCCTCAAGTTTTTTGCTGTTTATTTTGTAAGTTAAATATCAATATTTCTTCCTTAACTGAAAATATTTATCATTTTCTCATTTTCCTACTTTTTTCCAGCTTCCTGATTGGAACAAAGTTATTGATGCAGCCAGTAAAATCGAACTTATTAACCAGACAGATAAAGCAGAAGAATTCAGTGCTCGAAATTATATAGATAATGTTCGAAAAGTATGTCATTTTATACGTTATTTTTCATTGCTTGATGATTTTCCATCTTGATGATTGAATTTAAACATTTTTAAACTCTTAATATTTTTCAGATTGTCGGTGATGCGAAGCAGTCAGAAACAACCCAGAACAATCCTTTGCTTATTTATGCAAGTGAAACTGTTCATAAACTCAACCAACAACTGGATGAACTTAATTCGTTAATCAGTCAAATGCACAATGAGAGTATGTTATTAAGTCAGTACAAAGACCTTATCAAAAAAAGCAGACATGAATTCGCAAAGGAATTGAAAAAAATTCTTCCTCATATTGATACACATGCTAAAGGTTTCTTTATTCCATTTTTTGAATTGATGTGAAGCCATTTTATAATTTTATTAATAGATATGGTCAATTTAAGTTTCCAACATACATTATTCGTTTTGTCTTTGAAATATTTCTGTATTTATGTTTTTTCTAATTTTAAAATGATTTGGATAATATTAATATTAATAGGGGTCTTAATGTACTTTTATCTTGTTGGATAAGTTTTTGCTGAAACTAATTAAAACAGGATGTCATTTTTAAATAAATGAGCGATCAGCCCGTCAGCCTGGTTAAGGGTAGACTGCACTGACTATTGATTCAGCTGGAAATTTTTGCCAATCATTTGGCGATAGATGTCGCTGTATTTTTTAATGACAGATTTACTCTTATCAGGAACGGAAGCCGAATCTTTGCCTGTCAGCATTACGCTACCCTCATTTTTCAACAACAGTGAACTTTTTCACATTTTTCATCACATTGATTAAATAGTCCGTATAGTTCGAGTATGAACACTTGATGGAATTTCAGATTCAAAATTAACAGAAGATGAGTTAAATGCATTGATAGCTCATGCACATCTTCGAGTAAATGAACTCAAAAGACAATTGGCTGAACAACAGGCAAAGTTTTATCATCCATACAATTTTTCTTGTTAGTATATAGAAAAATAATCAACAGCCTTCTTCGAATAGAACTATTTTAGAGTGACGAAATAGTAATCTAGCTGATTTTTTCCAGTTTTTTAAGTGATTTTCAAGCAGAAGAAGCTTTTATAATTTTTTTTGAGAATGAAATCAATTCAATAAATCATAATATTAATAGCGTTTCATTTTAGGTAGATATGATGCTTTCATTTTCTAATTATCTGTTAAATTTTTTTCAGGTGCAAGAGGAACGAAATATAGCTAAGGCTATTGAACAGCAACGTAATCTCGATATTCAGCTTGCGGAGGATCAGCTCACTCGTAAAATAAAAGAAATTGCGGAAGAAAGCGATCTCAAGATTGAAAAAAAAGTATTTTTTCGATTTAATTTTTTCGATTTTTTTTTGGGGACATTTCATATATGGGCTCAGCTCCACATTTGTCGTTTTTTTTTCATTCTAGATGAGATGTACAATTTTAGTTTTAAATAAACTTTGTGTGAAGAGAAATTACAGAAATCTTTAAACTGTTATATATTTTTTCTTATTTCATTAATATTAATATTTTTTCTTATTTCATTAATATTACAACCCAGTTTAACGGAGACAGTTGTGAACGTTATAAGATGAATTATCCCAGTATTTACTAGTTTTTCACTTATTTCTTATAGTCGCAAAATATTAGGTGGCAGAAGATCGATTGGCCTGGGAAACAGAATTAGAAGATCGATTAAGGCGAGCAGCGGCTGCTCATTCCGAACATCTTGAACAAGTAGTGCGGACGCAAAGGCAACTGTTTGATATCGAACATAATCAAAAGGTTTAGCGCCATTTATTGCCATTTTTGCATTACTTCGAAATATTTTTTTTTAATTCGATGAGATAGAATTTATTTCAAGGCAATTGATTTAGATACAGGAAGCCTTGTCACAAGAGCGTGACTTGCATGGTCGGCAAATTAATGTTGCGCATGGAAGACTGGAAGGGATTGAAGCAGCATTAAAATCGCGGACTGCAGCTGTTTGTTAATTGCAATCAATTTTTCACTTCATGGTAGTTAAAGGTAATTTTTTATCTTTAATGTCATAATGTATAAATATTTTTAGGATTTGGAGACTCGTAGAACGAAACATATTTGGATTGCATGCCAAAATCTAGTCGATTCAGTTATTTATGGACGAAGAGGTGGAATCGACGCAGAAGCGAGGAAGAAGCCATTAGCATCAGAGGTGTATCAATTAAAACACACGTTAGTGAAGGAAGTAGAAAAAAAATTTGTGTGCTTTATAATTTTTGAAGCAAATTCTTAATTTTCCAGGAATTTTTATAAGCTTTATAAATATCGTTTTATTATTTATCATCTTTCAAATTTATTTTCGTAAATGACATGTTTATTTTTTATAAATTATAAGTTTTTTATAAATGTAAAATTATTTTCAATTATTACTTGTCTTCTTAATGTAGTTTCAAACCATATTTTGCTTCATAAAAGGTAAATATCAAATAAAAGAATATTTTTAGCTTCAAGTAATCAAGGAAGTTAGCGACGGTGATGATTTCGTTTCTTGCTTGCTTGAAGCTTTGTCAAATGAATGCATTTATGAAGGAGTATATACCGAAGATGACTTAAAAGCTCGTTTCCGAAAGGTAAAAGAAAATTTTTTACTTCCATATTTATCGTTAATAGTACAAAAATCTGAATTTGCTTCTCATTTTTTTGGTTGCAAATTAGTTATCGGACCTTAGCACTTTATTATTATTAATATTTAGACATAGAGCTCAAATGATTGAAATTGAACTAATTTTAATTACTTTAGATAAATTACTTTATATCAAAAAAAATTATAGGTATATAAACTTTGTCGAAGGGTCTCTAAAATAGATGAAAATGGAGGAGGTCTTGTGCGTTACCTTTGGTCATATTTGCAAAATGCTGTATCTTTAGATTTGCCCCAGAATTTTAGCGATATGGTAAGCTTAGTTATATTTTTTTCTGATTCTGATTTCGCCATGGATTTATTTTTTTCTCATTTTTGACTTGCTAAAATTTTTTTAAAGTAAAATTCTTATAGTTTTTGATTCTTTTAAAAGCCAAAAATAAAAAAAATAAATAAATAAAATAAAAATAAATAAATCTAATTTTGTAGGATTTAATCGATCCAGCTACAATAGATACTAGTGAAATTTTGGCGCGTACAAAATACTTCATGGATAAAAATGATTTGGCTTCTGCTATACGAATTGCTCAATTACTTAAAGGAGAACCGGAAAATATCGCAAAAGGTTGGATAAGAGATGTTCGTAAACATTTAGAAGCACGGCTTATCGCCGAATTACTCGTTACACATGCTACAATCACCAATATTCGAGCCGTATATTAAACCAATCTATTTATTCATATTATAAACTAGGAATGCGTTTTGCAGTCTTATGTGAAAATTATTCATTTTCTTTCTTTTTGCTCGTATTGCAATGAAGCTTTCTGTTTCATTAAGAAATTTTCTAAGTGTGCTTAGAATGTGAAGGCCCATTTTCATATTTTTAATGTATTTTGTACATTAGGGTTTAATATTTCATTCAGTAAGATTTCAGTTTTTTTGTTTCGTTATCACTAAAAAAATTAAAGATTCTTGCAAAGCATTGCTCAGATATTTACACCCTTTATATCTGAAATTTGAGAAAAAAAATCCCCTCGTCTAATCATAACACTTCATAATTTAACCCAATCGAATGAATCTAAATGAATCTGACGATTATCGAAGTACCTTTTATTGGACAATTATGCAGAAATATTCCGCAGGTAATCATAAAAGAAGCAACACTTCTGGCACAGTAGGCAACACATTTTACTGTAGAATATAAAAATACATTTTGATACTGCCTGCATTCATCGAAGTTTAATGCATTTTTAGTAAAATGTATGTGTGCAAACTGCAGTCCTGAGTAATTTGATATTTATATTTTATTTAATTTACATCTGCAATGGAATGGTGTCTGCTAAAGCTATTAATATAAAAATATAAAACAGAATTTAATAAGACAATTCGCAAATAAATAAATAAATAGAGCCAATTCAAAAAAATTTTAAATAAATTTTTAAATACTATTATAAAAACTATTGGAAAACATATGGAAGCGATGATGCCAAGCAAAAAATTGGAAAAAAATTTTTCGTTTTTTCAAATATAATCGTTTTTGATTTCACTAGAAAAGAAAAACGAACAGAACAGATAAAATGTTTTTTCATTTAAATTCTTGTTGATTCGAAATCAGCGATTTCATTCAACGAATAATCCATCGCCTGAAGTGCTTTATACGCTTCTTCTCGAACCATTTCAGACGAATCATTAACCGCAACAAATGATAAGTGAGGAATCGAATCAGCTGACTAAAACATAGAATCACTTAGATGCAATTTAATGAATGGATCAACGTTTGGATTAATGGAATAAAAATTAGCCAAATTTACTCAAATTCTACAACAAACTAAATTGCGCCTTGAGAAAAAAATACTAAAAAAAACTATTAAAAACTTTGTTTAAAAAAATAATTGGAAAATTAAATATCAAATCTACATTTATTATAGCGAGAGATCGGCATGCAGCTTTCCTACTATAATCATTTTCGTGCTCCAGAAGACATATATAACAAGTTATAAGATCATTTCGAAGTTCACTATTCGCATTAACCAAATACTCTTCTGAAAAATAAATTTGTCGAATTTCCAAAGTTTCAAAGTAGGAAAATTCCAAAGTAGGAAAATTCTTATCAATTCTTGCGAATTAACTCTTGAATAAATCAACTATGAAAAATTCGCTTAAAACTTTGCTAACCAACAACAGCTTGTAATTCACGATCTGGACATGTTAATATTAATGAAATGTGACGCAAACTCTCAAGCGGTGGTACAACAGGCACTTTCGATAATCGTTCCATAACTTCTTTTACTCTGGAGATTCGTCGTGAACTGAGACCTGAGGTTATCCACGCTGCAATGAATTCAGTTAAATCTTTTAAAATATTCCAAATCTAATTAATAAATGGTATTTTTAATAAAATAAATACAAAATAAACCTTCATGTCCCACATTTTCGACGAATGATATAACATTTTTGTCGCGAAATAAACCAGTGAATTGAAAAACACTGATTAAATCCGGTTCCCATTCATTTTTGTCCGTTAATAGTAATATTAAATTATTTATAACTAGAATTAATTTTCCCTTTAATCATTCATTAAATGAAAAAAACTTTAAAATAATCAGAGAAAAATAATCATCCCAATTACAATCATCCTTTTAAAATTACTCAATTATCCAAATCAACAAATCGCAAAAGCAATGAATATAATTAACCTATAGTAACTAATTCCGGATATCTTTTTTCCACTATAATACCTAACTGAGATCGAATTTGTCGCTTGAGCGGCTGAGTTGATGCAATTAGTGATTTATCCAGTGGAAAAATTGTAGTAAGCCAAATTTCACATATTTTTGAAGATGCATTCAAGCTGGTCAGTACTAAAACATCCAAATAATAATTAGATTTATTAGAAATAATAATCCATATGACAGTAATATCTTGAAATAATGAAATATTAAACCTTATTTATCTAGCGCACAACTTTTTCGAATGTGAGTGGGAGATATCAAGAAGCCACCAATCTTACCTAAAGCTCATTTTTTTATTGCCCTCGAGTTGGATCCCAAACTGCATGTAATTTTTACCGTATATATAAAACGCCATTATAAAATATCAATAATGACTTGGTTTATAACATGCTCATCACAGAAACTAATGCACATCTCTGTGGAACGTAAGCTTTGTAGCGACAAAAGACCCAATAAAGTGGTGAAAAGAAATTTTGAACGACAAGGGATCCAACATATATTGGCTTACATTTTGGAAAAAAAGAATTGCTTAGAACAAAATACCATTTGATATATTAGGTAAAGTCGGAAAATTAGCAGTTAATTTTAGCAGACAGTTCAACACAAGAGTTTCCTGTTCCAATATGCTTAAATATTCGTGTTGTCGATATTTCAGTGGACCATGCAACATAGTTGCCAGATCCTTAAAGTAATCCCATAAAATAAAATCTAACAACATGTTGAAAATAAATAGCCAATTGAAATGTTAAAAACGCTGAAAACAAATAAAATGAAAGCTGATAATTACGTAAAATGTGAAAAAAATTGAAGGTTAACCTTAACTGTATTAGCACATCGAAACAAATGATGCCTTAAACATAAAAGAATTTCATAACTGGCAAACAACAAAGATAAATTTGAATTTTTTTTCAATGAATTTCTGCTCAGTGAGTTACCATGTAAAAATGAATAACATTGTTCAGCATAATCTAAATGACCATCAACAACTGCACCAATCGATTTCCTTCGTTCTTTCTCTTTCAACTACAATTTATGTAATGAACGAAGAGAAGAACTGACTGAGAAAAAGGAAGAGAAATTTAAACGAAGAACTGACTGAGAAGAACGAAGAGAAATTTAAACGAAAAATTACGTGTTTAAATCGCCGTTGAGATGGTCCAATACTAACTGGATCCATAGATCCAATTTTGTTTGATCCAGTGCAGAAATGGTTTGATGCATTTAAATTATTGTAGGGAGAAATGTTTTGTCGTAAAGAATCGATGCCACTGTCGTCTTCGGAACTTAAAAAGATAATCTTCAACATTAGCGTATAAACTCGTCCCTATTTGAACGCATATTCAAATAAAGAAATATAATTAAAATGGGGTGGCAATATATCAGTGAGTTGTTATTCTCAATTCAGATGCTTGGGTCTATTTCTAGCAGGAGAAAACTTCTCTTTCGAAAATCCGGATGATGCTGGCAGTTCAACAATAATTCTGCCACTAAGCGACTCCCTGGCAAAATTTCATAAGCCAGAGAAAGTTTTGCCAAAAATTTAATGCTCTTCAAAAAATAATAAGAAAGAAAGAAACAAACTTATGGCTATTGTTTGTGGACAACAAAATTTTATCATCGATTTCTTCAAAAAATTGATTCGAATTTATTTGAAGATTACTATGGTTGATATGATTATTCTTTACGATCAATCGATTACCATTCATTAAAGATGTTTTTGAAAAATGATATAAATGACCGTTCTGCTGAAATCTTCTATCTGATTCATAGAAATCAACAGAATTTAAGTAAAAGTAAAAATTTAAAGAAATACTATAGCTTCCCACCTAAGAAATTTTAACATATGTGTGGCGTCATTAAAAAATGGAAAATTTTTTTAAAAAACGAAAAGGATTAAGCAACTGAAAACTATAATAATGATAAAAACTATGCTACATATATAAGATTCATGTTACATAAAACTTCATTTGCTGAAGGTAAAAAAATAAAGTTTTAACAATAATTATACCCTTAGATGGATTAGCCAATTGTTAAGAGATGTTTTAAAATGAATAATTTCAGGAAAATTTCGAATGATTCTTGCAATCATTGGCTTTAAAGAATCAATAATTTGTATTATCTGGTTGACTGATAGAATAAATGATCTAGTTGCTTTAGTCGCTGAATTCAAATTTTGAATTGATACTAAATCATGATTTGAATTTGGCACTAAATAAGAAATGCTTAATGATCGATGATTTGGTGAAGCATTCGATGGTGAATTCGCCGATACTGCTAAATTATTTCGTGGCATTGATTCAACCTGAAATATATGTTATAAATCACATATGATTTTGGCTAAATTTGCAAAATAATTCCAATATTATAAGAAATAGATCAAATGTGCACTTTTTTATTAACAAAAGAAACTCTGATGTTTTAATTTTTTAAAAATAAAAAAATGGCTAATAGTGGGTAGTCGGCTTAATTTTATGAACAACTGGTAATTTCAGTTTAATTAAAATCAAAACGATAAGAAAAATTCAAACCTTCCAAATGGCAATTTTGCAATGGCAATATTCTCATTCCAACAGATATTTAAAGGAAATTAATTTACCTATATAGATAATAACGAGGATTTCTTAATGCTACCAACTTATTAGAAATAATTCTAAAAAAAAATGAAAAAAGTTATACTCACTGTGTCAATGGTTGGAATAGATTTACTTATATCGTTATAAACAGAATCTAAAATATTTGTTGATGAGCGCCAAATTTCTTTTTGCCGATTCAGTTCAACCGCTGCATTACTGCGCTTTTTTTCACGTAACAAAATCCGCGGTTTTTTATCCTGCATGAATCAAATTAGGAAAAATATTCATAAGGATAAATTATTCATAAATTAATTAGTCCAAAAGAAAACAAAAGTTACTGTTTCTCTAATTCCTTTATTATTTTCTGTTGGATTATCTGGTATATTTGTTAATGATGTCCCACATCCTGTTTTTGACGCCAGTAATGGACTAAAAATAATAATTTACCGTTAAAATCTCCAACGAATCAATTATAAATACATTTAACAATATATTATTCAAAGATTAAAACAGATCAATTGCAAGCAATTGTTAACTAATGCCAATTAAAATATTTCATATCGTATTAAACTATGAATTCAAAACGTTATTCCACGAAATATTAAAACTCTTTAAAACTTAAATATACATCCAAGTAAAAACCAATTCCAATTTTAATGTGCCAATTTGATTTAAATCCATCGTAATCAACTGAGACTGCGATAATAATAGATCACATGGATCAAAACTTTTTTCGCAAAGTAGTCTTGATTTCAGAAAACGAACTTCATAAACCTAGAAAAATAAATTTTTATAAATTTTATGAAATTATAAATTTTTCAATTCAATTCAAATTCCGAATAAAATCGCAGTCGCCATAGCTTATTAAATCTTCATTTTTTCCGCATTTTTATGGAGATACTTTTTAAGAAAAAATCTGCCAACATTTTCAAAAACGAATAAATAAATCTTTTTCGCAATACAAATAAATGTAAATATAATGATAAAATCTGCAGAAAAAAAAGTGGTAAAAATATCTTTTTGAAAAATGATATTCCATGATTCATTTAAAATTGCAAAAACTGATTTGCAACAAAAAAAGAATTAGCATATAATTTCAGATATGAAATTCAAAAAAAATTGAATCTACCTTAACGTCAAACGTATAATCGGGAGAACATGTGAACAAGGCTGAAGAATTATCCCATATCTGAGATTTGTCGGCTAATGTTTTCCCACGGATTTTCCATTTTTGTGACCCATGTCTTATATTAATTTCGAACACATCACCAGGTGCAATTCGAGCGAATCCAAGTACAGCTAAAATAAAATGAACTTATCTTTATTTCCCAACTTATTAGTTTAATTTTGATAAGCTAATGAGAGATGGACTGATACCACTTGTATTAATAATGGACCGTCGCCATCGCTGGTTAGACACGTTCTTCGTCACCACAAGAGTTGTATATTTAGTATATTGATATATATTTAATTACTTGTTAAACCCTGTGATGGTTGGCGTCAAAAGCGAGGAACGCCAATCAAGACCTGGACCGATACAGTCAGGAAAGATTTTGAACGCACAGGGGAACCAGCGACATATGGATTAGATGGAAAAAGGAATGGTTTCTATCAACGGTGGCGTTGGACTGAGTAGACTGAGTAGTTGGAGACATCTTACCCTGGTAGCCAGTGGAGGCAGCTTAACCAGTAATGGTGAGAGCTGTTAGAAGAAGAAGATGGATTGATAAACATAATAAACATATAATAATAAACATATACATATAAACATATTTCAAACCTTTGGCATCAACTTTGAATTTACCAGCCATATTATATAATTCTAATCCGATTGCAGCTAATGAACGACCAGCATCCAGATTATCATTTGAATAACTTGAATTTGCTTCACCAAATCCATTCAGCGAATCCTCTAAATCAATTCGAGAAACTACAGAAAAATTGCTAAATTACATTATCCTATTCTAAATAAAATACAATGAAAATACGAAAACAAACCGGAAAGAAATTCCTTTTAATTTCATGCCCCTCATTCCACCATTAAAAAAGTTAGATAAAATTATTCTGCAATTAATAAATGAAAAAAAATAAATTGATACCATGATGAAAAACATTCAGTTGAGCAGCACATTCTTCATAAAGCTTGGAAAGACGTTTTACGTGCAAAGTATAATGTTGTAGGTTTTCTTCAGCTAGCATTAAATTCTGCAAAAGAAATTTTAATTAACTAATTAAAATGAAATAAATCAAGTAAAAATCTTAATAATTTTGAATAATTTGACTTCATAGGCGTGTAATGAATTGAAAATTAAAATGAGCATGCAGGAACCGTTAGAAAATTCTTTTCGTCCGAAATTTGTCTGCGACAAAATTTTTGAAAATCTAAAAAAATCTATCTATATAAAATAAACTAACATTATTTAAATGTCTATAATCATTTGAATCATTAAATTTCGCTTCCAATTCCCCTTTCAGCCGGTTAATTTCTTTCGCATATAAATTTACATATGAACTAAAAATATAAAAATAAAACAAAAATACAAATGCAATATCAAATACAAACTTTCAATTTTATGAACCTTTAATTTAATTAAACCTTTAATTTAAATTAACAAACAAACTATTAATTACAATTAACAACGATTTAATTAATTAAATGGAATCAAAAAAATTCAGAATAAACCTGAAAAATTAAAACCAAACAACTAAATGAGTCATTTATCCATAATGAAATTAAAATCAGAAATTAAATTATTATAAAGGTAGATAAAAATTGTCTTAATGATAAATGTGACAAAAAAATGCACTTTTTAAAGCAATTAAAAAAATGACGAATAACTTTCTGGAAATTATATACAAATTTATGCCAATCTTAAACAAATTTGAATTTCCGGAGTCAATGAACCGATTCAATAATTCCTTAGAATTTTGGGAACGATTGTTTAAGAAAGAAATTCGATTCAGAAAAGTACAGTATAACAGTGCGAAAGAATCATTTGGAAAAACGAATAAACATCCCACCCTCCCCCTCTAAAACTAGCTTTTGCACCGAAAAAAAAACTATCAAATGATATTCATTTTTAGCAAATTCTTAAAATAAAAAATGAAATCACGGAAATTCATAAATACTGAAAATTTTGTTAAAGAATAATAATCAAACTTGAATCCTCGATGAAGTGCAAAGAATAATTTCTGTAATTTCTCCGACATAATATTTTCTTCCTTTTTTGATAATCGTTTATTATTCAACGATAATAGCGAACGATTCGTTAACGAAAATAGCTGAAAATTTTCAAAAATATTTTTTAAATTTTTAAAGTAGTTTTTAACAAATTCAATCATAAAAATATGTTTTATTAAGTTAAACAGAAATTAACTATAACTATAACATGAAATTTACAATAATGTAAATTAAAATAAATGCGAAAAAAATCTTCATTTAAATCCCACAAAGCTAAACCAGTCACCATAGTAGCTGGCATAAAATTTACAAATGCTTCATTTTTTATCAAAAAAAAGAAGTAACAGCTCAAGAACATTGAGAAAGCAAATCAAGAATGGTTTTTTTTAAATTATTTTGATGCTATTTCATTTGACCATTATAACCAATATAAAAAAGATAAATTTTTCTACTAAAAAATGGAAAAAAAACAAGAAAAATAGGATTCGATCTAACCGAAAATAACAATGAAAAGATGAATCACATAAATGTTTTTTTTATGGAAATTCCTTCCATTTTTTCCACATCTTTTTTATAAATTATGGAAATCAGATGAGATTTCTAAGAAAAAATTTCTTATAAAATTCTTTTAAATTTTTCGATAAAACAGTGAAAAAAAAATTTTAAAATATATAGTGATTTTCAAGTTTTTCATTTTCTTTCTTCTTACAAATTCCTCATATTTCTTATAATTGTTCACATAGCAAATTAATATTTAAGACAATATTCAAGGTTACTAAATAGCAAATGGGAAGCAAGAAGGTCACAAATTCTTAAAACTGAACTTTTAGGTTTTAAATTATTCAAAAGTTATTCAAAATTTTTTCCTCGTTTTTCCTTCGTCTCCACCATACTTTTTTTTTATTTTATAAGCGAAGCCGAACAATTGAATCGTCGGCTATATAAATATAAAAAAATAAATTTTTTTTATCCAGTGTTAGTAATTTAATATAAAACACTACCAAAGATAAGTGCTTTACTTTTAACTTTTAATCGTTAACTTGAACACATTTTTTTCGTGAAATTAATTATTGTAAAATAATTTTTTTTTTATTTTTTCAAAAAGAAAATTCAAAAAAACTATACACCAACACACCGATGGTCTCGAATATTTTTTACGAATTGAAAGCGTCGCATAATCGTTTTCAATTTTCTTCGTATTCACCATCGTTTCATCAATTGGCTCCAATTCACTGAAAATATTATTTTTTGTATTCGTTTATCATAGAAAATATAGAAAATAAATGAATTTAAAATGAATAAAAGCAGAAACAAATTGAAATTTTGAGAGATATTATCAAAAGAAAAAAAAATTTTCTAGTTGACTGACCAAAGTGCTCATCGCTAATTTCTTTGTTTAGCGCAAAATTTTTCATTTCATAAAATTTATACTTATAAAATCATATTAATGCAATATTATCATTATTATTATTGAATGAAACGAAATAAATAAAATTTCTGCGGAATTTCCAATTTCTTTAAACAGTACTTTATTTAATAATTAAATTCACTGGTAAATTTATAAATTACAAAATTTCATTTCCAATGAGTAATCGCTTAATTACTATCAAAAATCTGTTTACACGACCTACAGAATTTACTTAAATTAAAGGAAAAGTATTTCTCCTTTTCTATTTCTTTTAATAAATTAAATAAATATTTCCCCTAATGTTAACAAAGTAAACAATAATTTTGCCATAGCAACCAAATGCATTTTATCATTATATTCATCATAAACTATTTACAGATTAACAAAAAATATATCTAAATATAGCAAAAATGGAAAAATATGAAAAAATTTTTATTTGAATTTTAAGAAAAAAAATTCCAAAGAATCCATTTAATCGTTAACTTTTATTAACTATTTATGAAAATTGTTTTTATTAAATTAAAAAAAAAATTTATTAGCAATTTTTTAAAATGGAAAAATTATATAAAAAGACGTCAAAACCATTTTTTTCTTAATTTTCAATAATTTTAAACAAAGTTGAGCAATTTATTGCCTAAAATAAATATTGTTTTGTTTCGAACGCTTTCAATTGTTTACAAAAGAAACTGGTTGGCCTCTCTCTTTCGTGCTTCATTTATTATCATTATCAACAAATTAAATAATGTGAAAATATATGAAACGCGGATAATTAACCGCCTCGATGAATTGATTTATACATAATAACTGTAAAACAATGAAATTTTAGATTTGCTTCTTCAAAAAATTTGTTTCTGCTATCAACAAAATTATTAAACCATAAATATTGTTTCGAATCAACAATTAATTTTCTGTTAAATCATAATAATTTGGCAAATATTTAAAATTTTTCTTATTTTATAAATGATTGTAAATTCTTAAAAATATAAATTTATATAAAATATTATAAAAACAGTTTATATAGAATTCATAGGTTTTATAGAATGTTTTACTTTCTCTGTTCCTCACCCAAAATATTGCTTGTTGCTTGCAAAGCGAATTTTTTGATAGAAATTTATTTAAAGAAATAATTTTTTATAAATAAGGGAAAGATGACCTTATTATTTAGCATTAGGTCCAATAAAATACAAAATTTTTTGCGAAAAAACTTTGACTTTTCAATAAACTTTTTGATTTTTAAAATTATTCTTTAATTAATTTCATATAAAATATTTTTTACAATTATTTTTGAGAAGGCTATTAAAATGTTATATAAAACCATCATTGCCTTATAAAATTCTAATTTTCAGATTTTCAGAAACATTTTCAGATTTTTTAAAAAATCCAGTGTTCAAACGATAATTTTCAAATAACAATCTTCCACCTACAGACAATTCATTTTAATTTTTTAAAAAATTTATATTACTATTGTAAAATTTATAAGATATATAAAATTCAAGTTGTGAAGAATTTCAAAGAAATTAGCGTTAAAATTGAAATTTTAGCAATGAAATATCATTATCAAATAAAATGCACTATAATAAGAGATCGACGACACACTTGCCATCTTAAATTATCTTCCATTTCATTTCATAACTGAACTAAACGATAATATAATAACTAATATAATAACTAATAAAAGGCAAGCAGTATTAGCAATCTGACGAATAACTGCAAAAATAAGTGAATCCTAAAAAACGATTTTTTGTCTTTTAAAAAAATGAATAAAAGTAAATACCGTGAATTCGAAGAAGTGAGCAAATTTAATGAGTGTTTTGTATGATAATTAAATGAATTCGTTCGATTTTTTCGAAGATATTTCGCTAAATTTGCAACATTTATCGTTTCTGGTCTGAAATTATGGCAAAAAAAATTTGTGATTGATTGAAACATTATTATTAAAATTGTATATATATGCATATATTCATTTTAAAATCTTATAATTTTATACACTCATTTTAAACAATTCATCAACACTAAAAAAATTTATAAAAATTAAAAATATATTTAAAAATACAATTTTTAATCCAAATATTCGAAATAATGTTTGATATGAAGTTAATTAAAAAATATTATCCTTGGCAATAATTTTTAGCAGTAAAGTAGATAAATCTTAGTATATTATTTAATATTTAACACCGATTAAATAAATTATTTTAAATATCGAATAAATAAAAAATCAAAAAAATTTTTTTATTAAATATTTTAAATTTTAATGAGGAAAAAATGATGAAAATAGAAAATTTAAAAAAAATTTCTTAGAAAAAAAGCATTTAAATCGGGATTAGAAGTAATAAATAATTTGTTTTTTAAATATTTCTTCGATATTCGTTCGTTGCAGAAAATCAAAAAACTGAAGAGAATAAAAAGATTAAACGGTGGAAAGTACTAAAAAAATAAACCAAAGAAAATGGACGGATCATTTTTAAAAAACTGTGAATTGAAAGAAAAATGTAAAACCTTTTTGATTTCAATTTTTTAATTTCCGGAAAACTTTTCGAGCAATTTTTATCAAGTTGAAATTCAAATGAATATTGCTCATCTGTTTTGATTGCTTTTTCGTTTGCATCATCGGCATCTTTTCTTAATAACAAATTCTCGAACTGAAAATTTTTTAGTTAATATGATATGACAAGTTATTAAGATTCTATAGTCCTAACAATACTTTTCGATTGCCTGGCTCATAGCATCGACTGATGAAGAAATGGAAAAGAGAGAAAACTGAGGAGAAACAAACGAGAGATGATCCGAGGAACCGAGAAGGATGAAAGACATCATAAATTGCCTGTAGGAAACCAGAATGTTGTTCAGATTACCATCTCGGGCGCCTGGGCTCTCCCATAAATTTTAATGGAGGTGCTAAATACTTCTATTTCTCTATAAAAATTTCTCACTGTGTTAACGGGCGGCTAAACGAGTTTAACCAGAAAAGATAAGTGATAAGCACTCACACACTTAATTATGAGTGAACAATATGGCGATACAGAGAGAGTTCCTCCACTGGTAGCGAATTAATTATTGGTGAGCAATGAGAGAGCAGTGAGGGCAAACGAAAAGGGAAATAGCATGGAAATGTACGACCCCATTGTTCGGCACGGATTTACTTGCAGTGGCCCGGTTAACCGATAAGTACCTTTCATATTTTCCGATCAAACATTGCCTATTACATTGAATCTCTAAAGGTTTATAAAAATGCAAAAATTGGAAAAACAAAATGTAAAAAGAGAAAAGAAACTCAACGAACCTCATTAGTCAAATTATTGTCCGCCGAAGCCGAAGCTGGCGACAGCGACGACGGCATCGTTTCCCTTATTTCTTCTTTTTTTGCACTAATTTCGCTTTCAATTGTGAAAAATTACTAAAATTTTTTGTCTATTAATCCATAAATAATTTAGTATTTCCGTTTAAAAAACTTTATCCGTAATTACTTTCCAATAAAACTTTATTATAAATATTACATTAAAAATCCTAAAAAGAAACGCTAAAGGTCAATCAAAAGCCGCAAATGAGTGACCTTTGAACCGTGCAATACAACAAAATAGCACGAAACAATTATTTTAAATATGTAAATGATAATAATAAATAGTAAACAGAGGAGAATTAATCACTGCTGTATTTATCGAATTATAGGTTAATCGGCATTTCGCAATTTTGTAAAAGAAACATAGGAGAAGATTATCTACATAAAATCACCACTAAGTACCAACCATAGATTTATTGACCCACGGGGGCTCATCGACAAAGGTCAAAAGGTCAAGTGGGAACTCTAAAAAACAATCACCCGCACTACGAACATCCAAGGAAAATTTCAACAAAACGCTAATTCCCTTCGCGGTCTCTACCCACTCTGCTTTTCTCTAATCCTCTTAATATTTCATGATCTCTTCGCCTTTAACATACAATGGCGCCAAAATTAGATTTAAACTTTCCTTGCTGGTTTCCAGGTCACTCTGTTATAGTATTTTAAATGAGATGACTATTTGCGGTAAAATTTTAAAAGTAAATGGCATGTTTGCAAGACATTTCCAGTTGTCTGTCACATGGATGTGACACTTGTGGGACTTAATGTGTCTATCTGACAATGATTTTAGGAAAATTGCGTGAAATTCTTAAAGGGACGAAAAAGTGGTTATTTTTTCCATTAATTGATAAACAGTCACTAGTTCCTTATCACTAATCACTTTTATCACTGTAAAAATAATAATTATGGTTGCAATTCATGGCAAAGAATGCAGAAAATTTTCTTTTTTTTTTGAAACGCGATTAAAGAAAAATAAAAATAGGAAAAAAATAAAATAAAGATGAAAAAATGAAATAAATAAAAATTTTATGAAAATCCACCGATGAAAAAATTTTATAAATCACCAATAAATTTTTATGGAGCTTTTAAGCAACTTTTAATCTTTCAATTATTTTTTTAAGTAATCAATAAATATAATAATTTTCTTTTATTTTTTTTTTTTTTCTTCTAACCATTACTGGTTCGACTGGTTCCGTTGGCTACAAGGGAAAGACGTCTTCAAGCTATTCGCTTCGACACCATCGCTGAATAGTGAATAGTGAGAAAAGCCATTCCTTTTTCCATCGTCTAAGTCGACTGGTCCACCTATTCTTTCCTGGCTGTATCAGTTTAGGTCTTAACCCTCCTCGTTTCTGACCATCCATCAAAGGGATCAGTAAGTAATGGAAAATATGTCAACTCCTGTGGTGGGCGGCGAAGGACGTGCTAACCTTAACCGACGAAGGTGACGCTCTGCGATGGCACTATTAATTCAGGTGGCATTTAAACTAAGACGGAATAATCTGGTACTTTATCCGCTCGGCGGGCCCGTAAAATGTATCTTAGACATGATCGCTCAAAGGCAGATAGCTTCTCAGCATCCCATATTGCATACGCGGACTTTCGTATTTATGGTGCTTTTGCGCCGACTCCATAAAGCTTTCGCCAAAGTTCTTTTATTATCGAAGTTAAATTAAAGCTAATATCATAGAAATTTCATTTTAAAATTCATTCAAATATATAAATAAATTAATGCATTAAAAATTTTTATTTTTAAACGTTTTTTATTTAAAAATACAAAAATAAAAAAATTCTTTTTTATCACAGAATTTTCATTTTGTACGAAATTTAAGATAGAAATTTAATCGAAACGAAATATTTTATTTTACATTATTTTACATATTTCATCATATGAATATCAATGAAATAAAATAAATTGAAAAATAAATTTATAATTTGGGATGACTGTCGGCGTGTCATTTCTTAGGCTAAATGTCCCTTTTTTCCCAGCGAAAATTTCGTATTTTAGTTAGTTAACGAATCTGCCGAACCAGAGAAATGTTTAACGCCTATTTATCTCATAGGAAAATATTTTATTTTTGTATTAATTGAATAGAAATAAATAAATAATTTGAAGAAGGTCATTTAAAATAAATTTATTTTAAATACACTATTTATATTTATAAAATATTTTTGTATAAATATTTATACAATAAATTTAAATGAATTCATTGGTAATTTATTTGTTTGCAAATGGTTATAAACAGCATTCATTTAGAAAAAGGTTCATTAATCTAAATAATAATCAGTAAAAAATAATCAATATTATGTTATCATTTATGATTATCTTTATCAGTTCCATTTTTAAAACATTACTTTTATGATAACATTAATAACTTGATATTAATAGCTTGATAACTCGCAGTGTCAATTACAATAAGAATAATTAAAATAACGATTATTTAAATTAGAAATAAAAAATT